TTTATGATGATGATTGGACGTCGAGGAGGAGGAGGAGGAGGAGGAGGAGGAGGAGGAGGAGGAGGAGGAGGAGGAGGAGGAGGAGGAGGAGGAGGAGGAGGAGGAGGAGGAGAGCAGAGTGTCACAGACAAAGGAAATATGATCATAGAGGTTGAGGAAAGGATCCGCAGGACTCGAAGCAGTAGCAATGAGAGAGATGCGCAGGAGGATCAGGACGAGAAGGAGCATCGGGAGGAGCAGGAGCAGGAGCAGGATCAACATCATCAGAGATTGTGGTGATACCAGCACGAGGATCAGCAGGAAGAGGAGGCAGAGAATGCCGCGGACTCGAGTTTGCATTACGGACTTCGACTAACTGATGATCAGGAGTGGGAGTTTAGGAGAATCTCAACAATCAGCTGGCATGTCATCAGGATACGAGGAGCCTGAGAAGCTGATGAGGAACCACCTCGAGTTCCAGAAGCTTCTTGACCAGATTTCCGAGCAGGTTGTCAGGCCGCCCCGTTCCCTGCCTGCATTGTGTAACATTACCTGCAGACGGAGATCAGTCAAGCAACTTCGCCGAGTCGAGACTTGAGGACTCCCGGGCCGAGCGAGTAAGGGAGGGTGTGCTGGGACTGAGCGCTGCACTGACTCTCATGCTCCAGAAAATCCAGTCTTGAGTTGGGCAGAGGTCACTTTGAAAGGTCCCGGCTGCATCGCTCCGATCCGGGGCATCGAGCTTTTCCAGGTCGACAAAGCCTTTGTCGACCCACCTCACGTTGAAGGCTAGCTGCAGATGGTCAGAATCTGGCTGTCCAGAGCGAGATAGACATGTTGAGGAACATTCAAGCAGCCAGGTCCACTTTTTCTGAGCAGCGCAAGGCGATGAATGTCAGGATCCAGCCTCCTCCTCCTCCTCTCTCGCTGACTCTGCCGCAAAGGACTCGAGCTGGAAGAACGAAACAAACCGAAGGCCTTTGAATGAGGGCAGCAACGGAAATGGCTACGTGGGAATGGAGAAAGAGACGCAGCTTTACACCGAACTCGGTTACCTGGTCCAGGTAATGCGGAACGGAGTGTAAAAGGTGCATTGAAGCCCTCTTGTAGGAAAGAGACATCTTGATCAAGGAGCGGAATGCCCTTCAAGTCATTCTCAACAGAGCATCTGATGAAATCAAGCATCTTGTCTCCGGTCTGAGCGGAGACAGGTCTGCAAGATGGTTGATCTCGAGCTTTTGTGCAGGGGAGCAAAGGCACGTTGAGGAGCTGAAGAGTTGGGTCAAGCAAAGAGACCAACTCAATCGCGACAAGATCCAGCTTGAAGTTCGTGCGTCTGATGATGCAGATGTGGTCTGAATCTCAACAGGAGAAACTGCAAGCTGCACAGAAATACAGAACACAACTTGATGATTTGCAAGTAAGTTGCTCGTGAAGACCCGAGAGAATACCTATCTTATTGATTTTCTTCGAAAGTTACAACACAGACACGATAAGATCGCTTGGGAAGAAGAGGTAGTCTTTCCCTCGTACTTGTTCTCCGAGCTCACTCACCAAAGATCCGAACGATGTTGGCGAACAAATCTGAAGCAGAGAGAAGGGCTGATTCATACATGCGGTATGCCGGTCAGGATAATCTTCACCACCTTTTGACTCAATTTGTCTCTCAGGGAAATTGAGAACTTGAAATCGAAAGTAGAGGAGAAAACGAACGAGCTGTCTAAAGTCTGAACGACCTTGCAAGAAGTTGCTCTGATGCTTTTGGGGGAACAGAGCCACTCTTCCAAGGAATCTCTTGCCCAGAAAATTTCAAATCTGGAGGATACGGTGAAATTATCCATGGCGAGCAAAGCTGTTGACTGCTTGCAAGATTGGCTGGAAGGACAAAGAAATCAATCGGCTGGAAGACGAAGTCTGCAGACTGAGGTAGGCCAGAGAGTGCTTTCTTTCTTGTGGTGAAATGTTCCTGCAGAAGTGATTGTGCTTCAGCGTTCCAGGGCAAGGTTGATATTCAGGTGTTGATTTCAAGAAGCATCAAAAACTTCTTCTGAATATGACGATGTTGGATAAATTATCAACAGAGAGAAGTCGATCGCAACCATGCACAGTTGGATGAGCTGCAATACCGCTATCAAAGCCTTGAGAGCAACTTGTTGGAGGCCCGACGATGACGTGAAGGTTTCTGACATTTGGGCAGGCAGGACGCAAGTGATGCGTACAGAGAGTTGGAGAGAGAGCGCGATTCTCTGCTCCTTCAGTTGGGTGAGTAGTATACCTGGATGATGCAGCTTGACACAAGAATGCTCAGCTGCCGATCGAGAGGGAAGGATCCAAGAGATGACGGAGGATCAGAACGAGCGGAATAGGCTCACCATGGAGCTGAGAAATGCGCAAGAGTAGAAAGTGACTGGCCCTGATCGGCGACCATTGATGCTTGCGTGTTGTTTTACAGAGAGCTTCATCGGGTAGTTGATGCCAATCATGGCATGCAGAGTGTAATCCAGGTGAAAGTTTTATTTGTTTCTTGGCCTTTCTGATGAGCAACAAAGGAGAAAGATGAGATCATCGCAAGGATGTCGCAAGATCTAGAAAGTTTTCAGACTCACGTCAGTTACCTTGAAGGGAAGGTGAAGGAGCAGGAGGTGAACTCAGACTCTCATTTCTCCCCTCATTGAGCGTTGAACTTGTTCTCACTTCGACAGTATGAGATTTTCGCCACGAAGGAGGAGCTCATGGGTGTACACAACGAAAATCACAACAACTACGAGAAGTGCTCTTGCCTTCTCCAGGACCTTGCGAGAGCGAAGGAGCAAATCTGTACCTCCTCCGTGTCTTCATCCCCTGAGATCTCTGAGCGTTTCGTGCAGCGTCGATCAAGTCTGAAAAGGAGAGGCTGGAGAAGGAGATGAGGAAATTCTCGGCAGAGCGCGATGAATGGGCGGCGCATCAGGTACCCGCTGGCGCTCCTGGAGAGCCCTCTGACGCGCATGACCCTTTCCTTAGGCCTTCCTCCTCGACAACGTGATCGCGTCGTCGTCGTCGTCTCATCGTCAAACGTCGAAGGCTTCTCCTCCTTCAAGCAGCTGGAAAGAATCTCCGAAGGAGGATGATACGTTTCATGTTGAGCGGTCAAGCAGCAAATCGTCCCTTCCTCCACCCAGGGAAGTCCAGAGACCGTCTCCTGTCACCAGCCGAAGTCTCGCCGTCCAGCAAGAACTCCACAACAGAAGTCGGAAGATGCAGGCTTTGTCAACTCAAGCAGGTACCAACAAACCCAGAAGCTCTTCTTCCTTCTCTCCCCCTCTCTCCCTCTCCTTCTCCCTCCTTCCTCCATCCTCGCACCTGTCTCTTAATACCTCACTGCTGCATCAGAGTATCTTCGCGGTCTCGTGGAGCGATGTGAAGCGAATCCGTCCTCGTATGCTGCGTCGGAGCTTCTACTCCAGGTAGATGAACATACCGTTGCACAGCTGCACAACATACATGTCTTAATGCTGCGGCAAGTTTGACATGCACTCGAGTTGAACGATGCTCTCGTGCTCAGTGATTCATATCAGCCCTGACGTGTTGCAGACGCACAGGACTCTGGTAGAGCTTGACAGGAACACGGCAGCCGGTGAGAATGGCGAAGCCTTCAAGCTGGTTGACTTGCGTCGGGGCAGAAAAATCCAACTTACAGGAAGCGCAGGCGAAGGTGAAGGAAGTGACATTGTCGGAGGCTACCGACGTGCTCTCAGTGGCATGGAGGGCTATGGCGTTGCCGATTTCACATTGTTGCACGGACGAGGATCTGCAGAGCAAGTGCCTGGCGCTTCTTACGAGCCTACAGGTTTGTTCCTCTCGCCGTGCCGGTTAGAGACAGCAGCTGATGATGGACCAGGAACGTTGGAACATCTAGGGAGGGAGAGGGAGGGAGCAAGAAAGCAAGTGGAACAATCACTTCGAATTTTTCTTTAATTCCGAGACGAAATGCAAGGAAGTGTAAGCTAGCCGGCTCATGAGAAGCCGTACTTGTTCAGCACTGAGATGACTCCCTTGGCGCTTGACTGGCGTGCTATGCTCAGAGGCGTCTCTCCACTCTGAGTTCTTGCCGCGCCGTCTGCTCCAGCCTTGAGCAGGGCCTCTGCACCTGCCAACCATGTGACTTGCGGAGGACCAGGAAGGGAAGGCAGGCGGAGGAAGAGCGCGTGTGTCTCGGTTGGTGTGGAGGAGCAGGAGCAGGAGCAGGAGCAGGAGCGAGAGAAGGAGCAGGAGCAGGAGCAGGAGCAGGAGCAGGAGCAGGAGCAGGAGCAGGAGCAGGAGCAGGAGCAGGAGCGAGAGCAGGAGCAGGAGCAAGAGCAACAGCAAGAAAAAAGGTCACCAATGTCGAGATTGTTGGACGCCATCCTATGGAGGGGCCTATATCCATAGGTATCCTGTCGGAGCATGTCAGAGAACTTCACTGGTGAGATTGACATCAACTCGCCTCTGCCTCGATGTTGCCCCCGCTGGCTATCAACAGCCTAAAAGGAAGGGTTCAGAGGAGCTTCACGGTGGAGGAGGGAAGCAAGGAGCTAGCTCACTCTGTAGACAGCTGGTTCTTCCGGCTCATGCCTGCCATGTGGAGAGGAGTAGCGCCACCTGTTCGAGACTCAACCTCCTCCTCGTCCCATTCGCCGCATGCTGACCTGTCGAGATCTCGTGGACGAGCGAGGGGTCAAGCTCAAGCAGCTTCTTGACAGCTTCTGGCCCCGAGGACAGTGCCCTGCTCATCTCCGTATAGCCTTCGCCAGAGTAGATGGGACCCGGCCGAGGGTTATGGTTCTGATATTGCCGGCCAATGAGGACCTTTCCTTGCGCATCGCGCTTCACCTTGCCGCCTGCGCACGCGCGTCAAGTGTCTCACAGCACAATGGGATAGAGGTCTCACCATAGATGCCCGGACCAACAGTGTCTGCATACGGATCGAAGCCGTCCGAGTCTGTCTCTCCAGGGGCACCATACTTGTCGGCCATACCGGGAGAATAGGGATCGTGGACGATACGAACGCCGTCTTTGCGATAGTACTGAGACCCATTTGCAGACATTCTTGCTGTTGCGCAGAAAAGAACAAAGGCTTGAACTCCAGGACCTGCAACTGTTCGATTCCAATCATGAGCGAAACAACAATCCGATCACTTCACTCCAGTCTAGCTGTTCTCAAAATCCGAATCTTCTCCATTTTGTGAACAATATGAAATTACTCACCTAATCAAAATCATTTCCTTTTATGACATGTTCGGGGCGCATAACAATCCTACCACTCCCCTATCAGATGAGACTCTGTGCAGATCGAAACAAACACTTCGAAACTTCGAATCCTCACACGAGGACTACAAGCATGAACTACAACCATCACTCCCGAAGATTTCCACACGGAAAGCATTCTTCTCTCATTGCTCTTCTCTCTTGCATTCTCCCTTCTCTCCTTCTCTTCCCCTTGCATCCCACTCGCTGCCATCACAATCGCCATGTTCGCACCTCTTCTCATTGACTCCCGTCGAAATTACCTCTACCCCTACCCCCTTTTATTCAACACTACCCACATATCACCCCATATTTATCCCGAATAATCACCGGTACTTATTCGAACCCCCCCCTTAATGCCACCCCGATAGTGGTACGGTACTGGTGACGGACGCATAAAGAATGAGCTGCCACCGGGATGGCCCGGCGCTGCCCGTGCTCTCCCCGACAGTGGTACCGTACGGCACCGTCAAGGTCACCTCCGTACTCACGGTTTATGATGGCACTGTGATGGCATGAGGCCCTCAGACTCGCCGGGCGGCCGGTCCGGGCGGCCGCGGGATCCAGTGCGGGCCCACAATGTCCGATCATATGGCGTGCCGGGCAGTGCCGGGGAGGGCTTCAAGTTCAATCTCCTTCATTCAAGCCTCAGCGAGTGCATGAAACGGCATGTTCAGTCTGGCCATGTCGTGCACACAAGCATTTTAAACCACTGGAGTTAAAAATAACTCTCGCCGGCCAGCCATTCTTCGAGAGTTATCGCGTTGTCAAGGTTTGTGTCCTTATCGTCCATCAGCTGTTGTAGACTTGAGTCAGTTCACGACATGGCTCCAAGATAGGCACAAAGCATCTCGAGAACATCAGCAAATACAAAAATGATGAGCAGGAAACATTCAGGAACAAGTAGTTTGGTATCAGCGTAGTCAGCGCAGAAACGACACGTAACAAAAGAAGACAATTGGAAGGTATTGTTCGTGATCTGACCTGCCAGGAGATCATCTCGATCTCGTCTTCTGTCAGCTCATGTGGTTGCCCGTCTCTGTTCTTCTTCCCTTGCAAAGCTTTCATCATTTCCCGTGATTCTTCCCTGCTCAAAATTCCATCCTGGTTCTTATCCCATTCCAAGAACAAGGATCGGAGGTGTTTCTAGACATTCGAGAATCAGAACACGTTCTGATCAGCAAAGATATAACAACCTCCTTCTGCTTGTCGTCGGCATTCCCCTGGACAACAAGGTCAGGGCTGCCTTTCGACATGGAAAAAGCACCTCAGAGAAAAACTCCCCATCTCGAAAACTAGGTTGTTGAGCTGCATCATGAAACCTGCAAGACAGTCAGGACACGATCATTTGGACATTAACACCCAACATCATTCTCTGCCATTCGGGCCACGAGATGAATCCATCCACGTCCTGATCGAACTCCCTGAATGCAAACGCCGCCTCGTCTTCCTGAGCCTCGAGGATCGACGACTCGTTGTTGCCTGAGCCGCTGTCTTCATAGAAGCTCATGCTCTCTCTCCATTGAGCAAGGAACTCGTTTAAGTTCAGCTTGCTATCCCCGTCCTCGTCAGTGCGCAGAAAGAACCCCTTCTCATTCTCAACCATCTCCGCCATCTCACTGATTTCCCCCTGAAAGAAAGCTTCAGAACTTCTGGAGTTCGCCACTTCTTCTCCTCATCATGTTACCTGTCCATGGAAATCATCTCCAAGTGCAGCTTCAGACTTCCCGTGCTCGCTGTCTCCTCCTTCAACCCCATCCAGAGCTTGCTTCAGCAGCTCGTGCTCAGCCGCTTGATCATTCGGAATGGCAGCAGGAGAGAGCATGGAGGGAGGAGAGGGAGGAGATGAAGGGCGATCAGTAACGCCTCCTTTCAGAGGAATACAGCATGCCCTCCTCCCCACCAGCATGACCAACAGCGCCCCTAGCACCCATCGCTTCCCCCCCATGCCCTGCCCCCCCATGCCACGAAATCCCAAGGCCTCATCCCCCTCATTACCAAGGTACCTGTTCTTCAGTGACTCCGCGCCACCCGGCGGTGGGGTCGCCGTAAGCCCGGAGTTGAGTAATTGTGTTTTTCTGAGGCCGGCTCACTTCAGCAGACGGGTGGATCAGCTCCATCGGCCGCCATGCACCAAGCGCGGAAGGCGTGAGCCTCCTCCTCCTGCACAGCCTCCTCTTCCCCCTCCTCTCATCACCCCCTCTTCATCTCTTACTGTCATCCATATTCTGCCTTTGATTCCCTCCTTCCTTTCCTCTCTCTCCCCTTTTTTCTTCATTGTCCATTGTCGTTGCAAGGCTCAAGAACTTGCTGATATCTCCAGCTCGAGCGCGGTGGGGGCCATGGCAGCGATAGTTTCTTCCCTATCCGTCCTTACTTATTCGACATGCTCTGTCAGTCCCGGCAACCTGGCCATCCTGCTCATCTTTCTTTCGAGCGCAAGCTTCACTGCTGCCGACAGTGAACTTCCCAAGTTTTATCGGATAGCTTTGAGGGACAAAGGTGTTCCCGAATATCAGGACGAAGATGAGAGGTTTCATGCTGTCAATATCAGCAAATATCATTTCCCCAAGAAGACGCCAGCTCGAATCCGCGAGTATGCACCGAAGAAATGGTGGTCAAGGTACCGCGATTACAAGACCCGGCCTGCCACGGGGCCAGGAAGCGTCATGAAGATCCCATCACGGCCAATTGCTGTGTTCATGTGCTGGGAGCCACCCAAGACGAAGAAGGTTTGACTTTACTTTCATCCCCGCTGTTGTTCGGGTGATGATCGACAATGCAGACCAACGTGTGCGAAGTTGTGAAGCTGCACTGGTCTCCACCCAGGGACGACGGGCACACGCCGATCCTGCATTACGAGATTTCGATGGATCAGGGACAGACATGGTCGCAGATCGAAGGAGGAGCTGATGCTCGAGAGTATCGGGTGACAGACCGCCAGTCAGGTGAAGTGGTTTCCTTCATGGTTCGGGCGGTGAACAGGGTAAGTGAAACTGTCACGAGGGAGGCAGCGTGACGATGAATGTAGATTGGTCCTGGGGCAGCGGAGAAAATGACATGTCAGAACACTCCGCTATCATCCCGTGTGATGGTAGTGTTGAGTGTATTGGTTTTAGCGTTATGTTCTAACCGTTGATGTACAGGCCTCTTTGTTCCAGAAGAAGAAGAAGCCCGTGCAGAAGAAACCAGCCCCCGTCCCTGACTGTTCGATGGCGCAAGCCGCTGCGTGAGCTCGTGCTAAGATGCTCAACATTCCTTGAATCTCGAATACGGCTTGATCGGATTCAAAATCGACCTGCACTCACTAGGATTCACACACCTGCCACTTTGTCAGTGGAATGTTAGTACGGTTGATCTATGAGTCACCCAGGGCAATTCATTGAATACTGCTTTGTGCAAAGCTCGTTCCTGAAAACACTGGTCATGGCATGTCAGAACATCCCGCCCATTACCTCTCAAGATGGGACTTGGCGATGTCTGCCAGAGCTTTGACAAACATGTCATCGTCGTTGAACGACGGAGATCGTTTGAACACTGCTCCCATCTGAACATGAGTCACTGAACCCGCACACCGACAAATTTCACATGCCTTTGCAGCTTCCTCACCGAACTCCATATCGATTTCATATAATGTCTCTGCTTGCAAGGTTAACACGCCAAAGGTTCGGCATTGTAGTCACCAATGTGGTCAGTCGTGAAAGCAACTGGAATCGCCATGAAATGAGTCATCCCCTGCCAACAGCAGATTCAGTCAAGCTGGCGTCTTACTCCTCCTCCGCTCTTGCCTGTTTCTTGAAATCTTTGATAGCGTCTTGCGTCTTCGGCCCCAACCAAGGAAGGGGTCCAACTTTCGATTGCCAGCAGAGGATGTAGGGGTTGGTCAGCCCCTTCTCGCTCAGATGCTCCATCACTCTTCCGACCGTGGAAGCGACCTCTTGAGGGTATCTAGAGAAAAGGAGTCAACCGACTCATCGTCACCCGCCTCTGAGCTTACGGGTCTCCCGCGTTGACGCGTTTCATCGGCAGCGAGTGTGCGGAGAACAGGAAGACGACCTTGCCAGGCGTCAGAAATTTTTGCACGTGCCGTTGCACGCTCGCAGTGCCTTCTTTTGGTCTTCCACCGGGAACTGATTCAGTCCCGCTAAGATCCTCCCCCTGCAGCAAGGTTGCTCATGAGTCGACGGTGATCAGGTCTGCTGCAAACTCTTACGCCAGCGCCTCGATGTATGAAGGGTGGGAATGCCATCGGTCGATGATAGACCACTGGAATTCATTTTGCATGCCTGACTCCCTCAAACATCTGCAGAACTATGTGTTCACAAGGTGCAGAATATAACACAATACATCCTATCACCTCCAGAGCTCGTTCAGTGACGATCCGGTAGTTGTACAGCTCCTGCATGGGGAACTTGCTCGTTAGGTAGAGAGCAGGATATTATCAGCCGGTTCAGGCATCACCACTGTGGAAATTGCGAGAAGGCTACAGCCCTTTTGACACCATCGTTCTTCATTCGAGTGATCGCATCCTCCGTGAGGGGAGAAGCATACCTTAAAAAGTTTTTCTCACATGCAACAAGTTGCAATCATCTGTTTCCACCTGAACGCTATGTATGTCTTGTGCGGAGCAGTCTCAGGACACATCTCGTCCAGATGTCTCTCAAGTTTCTTTCCCTGTATCTCTGTCCACTTTCCGATTGGGGAGCCTCCACCGATTTCTGCATATCTGTCGAAGGCGAATCATTTACATGCAATGATCAAATGTTGGCATACTGCTTCATGATCTTGGGAGATCTCCTTCTCGCTATCCATGAACCCAGCATCTTCTGCATTGGAAGCTGCATGATCTGCCTGTCTGTGAAGAGACGAAGAAGAAAGGGATGAACTTCTTCTTGCGTTGACGGCCCCCCCATGTTCATCAACACGACCCCGGTGGGCGGCCTGGTCGCCATCCCCCTTGATCCCAAAGGACCTCGGAGCATTGCAGCATTGCTGTTCTATCATGTAAGGATAGCAGACAGATAGGAAGGAGCATTGCTGTTCAGATCAAAGTGGAACTAGGTGAAAGGATTGATGCAAAACGCCAAAACATCAACCAGCACATGGGTGAGAATGGCCTCTGTAGTTCATCAGGTGTCGGAAGACATGTGAGCAGATCGTTTGTAGCAATAACGCTATAGTACATAATTTCAAAGGACGAAGATGGTGGAACGATCAGATACGCTATAAGAATCAGCGTATCTGTTTTGAGCTCTTGGTGGGTAGCAGGAGAGGAGCTGTCAAGATAGGAATGATAAAGCGGGAAGCAAGAAGGATGAGAAGGAGTAATATAAAGATAAAAAATGGAACGAAAGGTGGAGAGGAGGTAGAGATTCGCGGAAAAGGAGCATTGAAGGCTTTCGTTTCCTTACATTCTTCGCAGCATCTCGTCCTCCTTTATGCGACAAGGAATTGTCGGTTACATCCGTTGCAAGACATGTTTGAACAGTTACAAGATGTAGAATTCCAAATAACGGATTGTTTTTGAATCACCCTACCCTGCTACAAGTGCCATCAACACCCACCCCCTCAATTAAATGGAAGTACCCCCACCTCTAAGGACGTTTCTTCTGGTCAAATGTCTTCCCACCCACCCCGTTCATATCCTTTGGGCCACCCCCACCCCACGAGACATCTGAAAACTACCCCAGGTTGATTTTTTTACAATGGAACTTTTATGGACAGAACCAGGTACCCTATGCTCACCACCCCTGTACTTCACCTCCCCGAAAATCTCTACCCCCTCTTTCCCACAAGTCTACCCCATGCTGAAAGGCACTCGGTCTGGAGATATCACCACCCCCACCGAAAAGGGGATCCGATGCTCACTTCTTTTGTATCCTACCCCACCCCCACGATCACCCACCATATCCTATCTACTACCCCACCCTCCTAGCGAAAGTACCCTCTTCCCCAAATCCGACCGGCATTGAACTCCATGGCATTTTGATGTCTACGGTGCGCTTAGCTCGCTATGCACCCTCGTCTCTCTCTCTCTCTCTCTCTCCTCCCCTCCCCCCCCTCCTCTCCCTCCACTCTTTTCTCATTCCCCCTTCTATCCCAGACCCCACCTTGCATGTATACAAGACCTCATCTTGCTTCCCTTCCTGGCTCAGCTGTGTTTGTCTATCTAGGTTCTCCTCATACCATACTCGCTGCAAGCTGCTTCCTCTCTTTCTTTCTCTCCCTTCCTGTACAGCTCCACTTCTGACATCTCATGTCTTGGAACGTAAATCCTCATAATCCAATCACCAACCCGTCAGCAAAAGATTCTCAATCAGTTTCCTCGTGATTGCCTTGAATTCGATGTTCCCTGTATTTTGAACCAGTGCATCCTTGCTTCTAACTCATCGCTTTCAAGAAAACAGCAAAGATGCTTGCAGCACCGTCTTTCTCCGGACCAATGGCAATACATCATTCGTGCAGGGATTACACATTCTAACACCTTACTACAGATGGTAGTCTAGTCAAACTCCCTCGATCAGCTGCTTTGCACTCGAGCTTCCTGCGATCTTTCCTCGACGATGAGAGCTCAGCTGTAGGATGAAGCCAGACGTCATTGATCTGCCTGTCCTGAACCTTCCTGAAGGTCACCGAGGAATCTCCGATTGCACTGGTCGATTCACACTGTGTCTTGCTGGCTGTGAACTATGCGGTGGCCTACATGAAGGTTCAAACGCTCTTGTGTGTTGGCTTGCTTGTTGATCAGGATATCTGCAGCTGTGTGATGCCATGCATGACTTACCCGGAAGTGGATACACAAGTACGAATGGAGGGAGGTCTTTAATAGCTACTCACCTCCCCTCCATCTACACTTACCTGGGACGAGGTATTTTTGATCTTGTTTAACACATCCACAAGCCGAGGAGGCGGAGAAAGAGCGATTCTCATTCAACCCATTCATGTGTCGAATGCTTTAAATGCTTGTCTTTCCATCTCACTGCATTTGAATGGCTGTCTGTGTCGAATGTCTTGATGGCCGGTTGTCCAGGAACAAACCGTACTCCTTGGGAGCAGGCTTTGAGAGCATATACCAAAGTAACTCCTTTCTCGGTTTGCTTGATGTCTCACACTAACGAACAGGCGATTGGAGACTTACCCGACGCGTTGCTTGTACAGATTATGCATACAGCAAATTTTTTGGATGTTAAGGTCCGGAAAGCATGTGCTCAACGGAAGGGAAGACATTGTTGAGCATTTGTTTCAGGGTATGATGGACGCTGCCATCCTTCAAATTTCTGTCCGCATTGAGAAGGTATGTGATATGAGATGATCGTTCGTCCTAACTCGAACGATCATAAACCCAATAATCCCTGAATCGAATCTTCCATGAAATGATCGTTGGATCTAACTCCGTTGGTTTTTCGCCAGGAGACTGATCAAGAATCGACTCGACAGATTGGCAGACTTGGAGGGGACGTGCTTGTGAAGGCTCTGATTTCGTTGAGCACTGAATACATCATCGTCGACGAAGAGCTTGCTCTGCAGTTCGTGAGAGCTCTGACAGCTTTGGTTCCCTTGGGATTTGCAGAAGAAATCAAGACCTTCAATGTTCTATCCATGCCAGAGGTGGCGCGATGTCACCCTCTTGAGAATGAAATCGCCCGGGCTTTACATATTCTGACAGCCAAGTTTGGTTTGGATACAGTCTTAGAACGTTATGTGCTGCTGTTCGATAACCCAGACTGGCCGGTCAGGAGGTTTGGGCTTAAGACGTTTCTGTCAACGGACATGTCGTCGTGGACTCCTAAATGTATCGAGACGATCGTTCGGCGACTGAAGCATGGCAACGCCGAGAGACGGCTGGAGGCGTTTCGGGCTCTGCGCAAGCAAGCTGTTGGCTTGCTGCAGAATGAGGAGCTGCCGCAGAGGATCCGAGACACGTTGATACGTGAAGCCCTTCTGGGGACTGGACATGTTGGGATGTGTGCTAGACGCATGGTGAAGGATCAAGTGGCGAACTGTTTCTTTCGAGACGATGATGGTCAGATGCTGCTGAGAGACAAGGACCGATGGTGGTCTCTTGCCGAGCTGCTGCTGCGCAGCATGAGCAAGATGAAGTGCGATGACTGGGGCTCGGCTCTCTCTGTAAAGCCCGACGATCCACATGGTCCCTTTCGCCAGCTCTTGGAGCACTTGCTGCCGACATACTGTCAGGTTAACAGTTTCTTTGTTCACACACTAAGTTATTGTAACTCTTTCATTCAAAAACAGCATGTCTATGCTAAAGATCATCTGGTGGAAGAAATTTTCGCTCTTCATACATCAGCAGGAGGCGTCTGGGCTTCAGTTCGCAACAGGGGGATAACTTCAAGCGCGGGATTTCCTCCGTACGTTGCACCTGAAGATGGAGAACCTGAATCTCGCAAGAATGGAGACAATGAGCCAACAGAAAAACGGGCCGAAGAGGTTCGTGCTTCTGGGAACCTCTCTGAGGGGTCAACAGAAAATTCATCCCAGCAAGACTCAGAAAACAAGGAGGATCTCTTGGTCCTTCGTGCGATTTCTCTCCTGGCTCTCTGCTATGCGGTGAATCCTCTGGACAAGGGGATCCGGCAACTGCTAGCGCAAGCCGCGGGGTTGAAGAGCATCACGAGCTCTTCTCAGGATAGACGAGGGGAGACTGAGGGAGCATCTTCAAGCCAAGTGGACGGGGCGCAGGAGGCGAGCACGAGCAAGGATCATCAGAGTGTAGCGGCGGGTGACTCAAAGGAGGCAGAGCCAAAACCAGGCGTTGAGCAAGATGGTGGGAAGAAACCTGAATTAACGCTGGAGCAGGTAAAGTCGCCTCCTCTTGCCTCTCCCTGCCCTTGACTCTGCCTCCAGCTGGCGGCTCGAGCAGCTCTCTCACAGCTGAAGTCAACATCGAGCAAGTGGTGCAAGATCTGCCAGATGCACATGGAATGGTGCCATTGCGGCCGGTGTGAAGGGTAGGACAAGCGCTGGTCCCTCCCTACTGCGCTGAGCTCGTTGGCAGGTGCAACAGACATCCGGATTGCTGCGAGTGTGACAAGGAGGAGGAGTGTCCGCGATGCGGCAACGATCGGGCGACTTGTGAATGTTCATACAGGTATGTCCGGTTGGAAGCGAAGGCAGAGACTGATGCGTTTGTTGCAGCGATGAAGACTCGGACAGGTCGGAATTCTTCGAGCAGTATGAATCGGATTACTAAAGTCTCTCCTACTCGACGACCTCTCTCTCTCTCTCTCTCTCTCTTGCTCATGACCCCAGGAACCCCTTGCAGTTTTTGGCGCCGCAGTGACATTTCTTGGTGGCTGCCCCGTCGAACATCTGGTAGTCGATTGTGATTTCTTCCCCTTTCTCAATGTCGCGCTTGGCAAAGATGCCTGGAATACTTTCACGCCAGGAGAGAGCAGGAGGGAGGGAGGAGAGCTGAGAGAAAAGATGTTCTACTTACCGACCACGACTTCCCCCAAGCTGCGATACCGATGGGTATGGCAGTTGGGATCGCAGGAGTGATTGATGAAGCGACCCATCGAGCTCTTCCTCGAGGCATCGATGACCTCGAAGATTGGGCTGGTGTTGAGAACCTGCACAGAATTGTGAGGAGGGGGAAGGGGCAAAGGAGGAGAAAAGAAAAGCGGAGGAGAAAGCAAGGTAGGGCAAAGAAACAAGTTAGACCATGAAGTATGTGTGCTTCTCCTTTGCGTACGCCTTCTTCCTCCTCTCGTACATTCGCCTGTTGAGGATTTCGCCCATGTACTCGATGACGAACGTTCCTTGCTGAACGTCCTCCATAGTGAAGAGGGCCCAGCCTCGCTTGTCCACCTTCTTTACCTCCGTCCTGACGTACTGACACTTCTGAAACCGCTGGTTCTGGCAAGAGTCCCCGCAAGGGCAGAAGCCCGGGGTACACTCGACGTAGATCTGCCTGAGGGCGCAGGTCTGATCAGCGCAGGCAACCTTGCCCTTGATGGGGAGGCAGTTGCAGACGGCGATATCGTCGACGCTCAACTTGGCGTACTTGCGATGCAGGTAGGTATTCCTTCTCAGCATCACGAAGGGGATCGGGTCAACTCCTCCTCCTGTCCGCCTCGCCCACTCCAGGTGCTTCTCGTACTGCTTCGCAAACCTCTTGGCATCATCCCCCTCCACCACGGCGCACTTGCCGTTCTTGATCACTGCCAGCCCAAGGTCCCCATCAGCGAACGAGATCGAGGAGTCCGCCAGCGCCATGTCGGCGTCCTGCAGCTCCTGCAACGTCGCCCGCATCTCCTGCGTTGACTTCTCGAAGAGGCCGCTGGACATGTACTTCATGATCTCCTTGGGGTCGAAGATGTGGTGTAGGATCTTGTTGAAGCACTCTTTGTCTGTTCGATCCTCAGCGTCTCTCGCAGGAACGAGGAACTCGCTCTCGCTCAGCTGCATCAGGTGCGCATGCAACCTTCCCCTGCTCGTCTCCGACCCTCCGAACTTGCGAAAACAGATGGCGGAGACCGGCATGGCGTCGTCACGGGCCAGCCGAGCGTACAGCCTGTAGAAGTTGACGATGATCTCAGTAAGGGCATTCTTGGACTGATCGTCCCCCGCCGCCGCCACGTCGTTGAGCTTCTCGAAGTTCTTCATGAGGCTCGAAGATGCGTCAAGGAACTTGATCCTAAGGAGCTCGTTGCAGAGGATGCAACTCCTGACTTCGGTTTCGAACAGCAGCTGGTTGAGGATGCGAAAAATCGGGAGCCACTTGTCGCTGTCCTCCCCGTTGCAGATGCGGGAAGCAAATTCCAGAGCGACCGAGATCGTCTCATCCCTCACCTCGCTCAAGCTCGGCGTCGTCCCCAGCGTGCGGAAGAAACGCTTCGAAAAGGCCATGAAGGAAAGCAGGTCCATCCCCTTCCTCCCTGCCGCGTCTCGACGACGAAGACGAGTCAAGATGGACTTGAGGATGAAGTGAAGACTCGGGTGAGAGCTGAACATCCGGCGGAACTCCCTGCATGATTCCGTTGCAAGCAGCCGCGACTGAATGATCTCTACCCAAAAGTCGAGGACCCTGAGGAACAACTTGGGCTTGCAGGGCGAACTTGATCGTGAGGCCTTCTTGGCCTTGTCGTCGTTGTTGTCCTCGTCGTTGCAGCCCCAGGGCCCTTTCATCACGTCCATGTCGATCAGGTCCAGGGTGAAGCGGATCAGCTCGTGGAATCTCTTGTCTCCGATCAGCATCTTGGTGAAGCCCTTCTTCTCCGTCTGCACCCGAGACTCGTAGTGGAGATAGTTCAGCAGGGTGCAGAGCACGCTCCAAATGTTTCCAGCGAGCTTCTTTTGCTTTTCCTCTTGCAATGGGTCCTGCTCGTCGAGGGTCGCCTCTACTTCAGCCCCAACGACCTCCAGGAGGAAGTAGCAGCAAGAATCGATCACAGATTGATTCAGACTCTGGTCCGACACCAGGCACCTTCCCAGCTTCTCGACCTGCAGGCCCCCCGAGACATCTTTGCCGCTGAACAAGGCAGAGAGGACCGAGAAGAAGGCAGAGAAGCCGCTGAAGCGATCGGACTTGTACAGTCTCGGCTTGTTCAAGATGTCGCTGAGAGTTTCAGACAGGTAGACCCCGAGGTCGCCCATGTACGGGTGCTCAACCACCCTCGGGTGCTTCATCATCACCCGCAGCTTGCGAGGGCCGAGCCCACTCGTGACGGGAGGGAAGTACACAAGGGAATGTACCTCAGCATGCGTCAGTTCTTGCAGCTTCAGCCTGTCCGTGTTTCGCTGCTGGACGACTGGTTTCCCCTTCCCACCGCTCCCCTTCCCGTTGGAGCGAGACTTCTTGGAGGGGTTCGCTTCTTCCTTGTCCTCCAACTTTCTCTTCCCTTCCTCGTCAGATCTCGACGCCTTCGTTCCAGAGTCTGAAGACGCCTCTTCCTGCTTCTTCTCTTGCCCCCCTCCCTCCTCGTCCTCCTCCTCCTTCTCCTTCTCCCCCTGCTCTTCGTTCAGCTGCCCCTCCCGGTCTTGGTTCTCCTTGTCATCCCTGTTCTCCTCCATCACCGGCTGCCGCCCCTCTCCCACTCGTTGATCCTGCTCATTCGCTCTCTCCTGCTCCGATTGCACCTGCTCAGCAGCCATCGACTCCCGTACAGCCTCAGTCTCTTTTCCTCCTCTTTGCGAAGGCTCTTCTTGTGTGTGTGTATTGGACCCATTCCCCTCCACCTCCTCGTCGTCGGAAAGGTCCACATCCAACTCTTCCTCCGACTGATTCCCGTTAAGCTTCTCATGCACACGACAGCCGCTCTCCTCTCCCCCGCCTGCATTACCCAATGTCCTTCCAACGCCCTGCATGTCTTGGTCGTCATCGTCTGATTCGGGCATGTCAGCATGTCGCTAGCTGCCATGCAGGAAGAATACCCGATAGATGAACTTGAAGCTCTTCCTCTTCGTCCTCGTCGTCAGCCATCTGCGCTATGATGAGCCCGCTGTAACTCATATCATTCGCTCCCTCGCTCCCTCGCGTCCGCCCCCCCCCCCCACTGCACCCCCCTCCCCGATTTTCGTACACATCTTCAAGCCCGTCCTCTGTAGTTCTCATACAGCATGCATAGGATCGGATTCCGTAAGATTTTCTGCAACTTTGGCATCTACTTCCCACTTAATCGCCTCAGGACAGTTCCTGCCCTCCCTCCCCTCTCTTCTCTTCATAGTCTGATCATCTCCTCGTAGTGATCCATCGTCACCTCGATCTTCATCTCGATCATCTCAATTACCTCCTTCATGCTCATGTTCACGTTCGTCACCATCATGTTCATTACCACCTCGTCTCTCTCCTGCTCCTGCTCCTGATCCTGATCCTGCTCCTTCTCCTGCTCCTGCTCCTGCTCCTGCTCCTGCTCCTGCTCCTGATCCTGCTCCTGCTCCTGCTCCTGCTCCTGCTCCTGCTCCTGCTCCTGCTCCTGCTCCTGCCCCTGCTCCTGCTCCTGCTCCTGCTCCTGCTCCTGCTCCTGCTCCTGCTCCTGCTCGTTTCATCTTCTGAATTTCCTGCAAGCCTGTAAACCAGGAGGGTGGGGTAGTATTTGGGATCAAAAGGGGTAGTGTGCATGGATACCCCTCCTGCTTACAACATATGCTGAAGAAAATAGATGGGGTGGGGTACTTCAACTTCCCCTCCCCCAGCCGGCATAGCGCAGGGGAAGGGAAAGGACAAGTAGGAAGGGAGATGGCGGGAGGGAGGAGGCAGAGGAGAGCAAGTATGGTTGTCATACGAAGATGGTAGAGAGAGGACAAGGTCGACAAGGATAGCACAGAAGCAGGCAGGGGAATCCTCAAGGGAGGATGCATGAAGGGAAGTGAAGTTAACAGTCAGCAGTCCGAGCAGAGAAGTGCTGTGCAAACATAGTTCTTGAATACTGCCTCTTCTTCTTCTTCTTCTTCTTCTTCTTCTTCCTTCCCCTACTTTTCTGATTTCCTTACTTCATTTTCAGTTTTCCTTGTGCGAGAAGAGGAGCCAACTATGCCTCCACAGCCCACTCAACCGCCTCCAATGCACACTATCTCATATCCCGGCCAGCAGCAGCACTACACGCAGCAGTATGCGCAGCAGCAGTATCAACAGAACTATCAGCGACAGAGGCAGATGCAAGGAGGAAGAGGCGTTGGGATGAGCCATGGCATCGGCGTTCCAGCTCCGCCCATTCCTCAATCTCCATCCGCGGCAGGCATGAATGTGCAGGGGGCCGGAGGCAGGTATGGAGCGGTAGGGAGGGGAGCTCAGCAGGCCTACGGCTATGGCACCAACTCGCGCGCGTCTCCTCGATCACGCCAGGCAGCGACCAAGGCAGGAGCATACACGCAAGGGGCGGGAGTCGGGTTGGTGGCGGGAGGAGACGCGGCTAGTAGGGCAGCGGCAGCGGCACGAGCACAGGCGAACGAGCCAATGGACTACGAGTTTTTGGATCTGATCAGTGAGATACTGAGACTGATCGAGGAGGGGTTCTCTGTGAACTCGGAGGTGGTGAAGACCAAGGTTGAAGCTCTGCAGAACAAGTTCAACCGAGCAAAGGGGCTGCTGGAGGCGATGGACGGGGCTGAGATGACGCCGCAGATGCAAGATGATGTGTATGAGATGTAAGATGACGATGATGTGTGAAGACCTGCTGTGACCCGCGTGCTTGCAGATATCAGAAGCGATTGAATCATCTGAATGGAATGATGGCTTCCTATTCGAAGCTGCCGCTGTTCAGCGAGGAGAGTTGAGAGCCGGGCAATGTTTTTGGTGCTTGTATGAGCGTGAGAGAGACGAAAGTGTTGCTCTCTCAATCGCAAGTAGAGGATTGAGGAATGAAAGACAAACAAGTGCTTTACTCGTCCTCCATGTACGACAGGAGCTTTTCGACGGCCGCTGCAGCCACCTGGTCTGTGATCCCATCCTTGGTAGATATGCACTGCTGTCGCAACAAGATGTGTAGCATCAACGCATCTGGCCCCTCCTCTCCTAGCTCCTGCATGAGCTCGTTGGTGAGAACAACACCTGGACGACGATGCACTATCACCTCCTCGTCTATCACCACCCACGGGCAGTCGTCGTTACATTGGCGGGATACGAAGTCAAGAATCTTCAACATCCGTCAGAGGAGGAGGAGGAGGAGGAGGAGGAGGAGGAGGAGGAGGAGGAGGAGGAGGAAGGAACAGGGTTGACGCACTTGAGATGATTTTGACATCTGGGGTGCTGTTGTTGTCCACCTTTTGAACGTTATCCCCCACCTTGCAAGAACACTCGCAAGTTCCTGCAATGACAAGAATCACAACGCACAGCGATCTCAGGGTTTTTACATCTCTCAAAGCTTGAGATGTGCGCGATGGCCCTGAGGGAACAATCTCTGCATTCACTGCCTTGATGATCCTCTGAAAAAAAAGTTTTCAACTTCATTCACGATCATGCAACCATACCTGTAAGTTCATCAAAGAATCCGAATGAAGGACACCTTTGCCCCTCTTGACAAGCTACAAAGACTGTAAGACCATGACAACTGTCCTCGTCCTCCCTCTCCCATCACCACACTGTCAGTGTCGATGATAACCACAGCGTGCGGAGGAACAGGCTTCAGGTGGAGGTCCCCCAGCTTTCTCAACCACGACGACAAGTCTGAGAACTCATCGTATCCGTCGGCATGTTTCTGCTGGGCCTCTGACGAGGAGAGTGTGTAGGTGAGCAAGGGAGGAGAGGGAGGACGAGGTAGTACCTTCAAGGAAGGACAGCAGCTTGCTAGTCTCCTCCTCATTCCCTCCCCATCCTCCTGACTTCAACTCCGGCCATCGCTCAGCTGCCTGTACGGGCTGGTCAAGTTGCGGGCAGTTGCTCAAGGTTGCAGACCTGTAAGACGAACTTCCACAAGAAAGTTTTCGGCCAATTCATCGATTCCAACACTGTTGAGATGTCAACAATAACTTGGACCACACAATGAGGACAAGAGAGGCGATCAAGAAGGGTAGGAGAAGGAGGGTAAAAGAAGAAAGAGGGGGAGGAAGAGGGGGAGGGGAACAGGAAAACCTCGAGGCAAGGTTGCCGGGAGGAGAGGGTTTGCTGTGATGGCTGCAGTGAAATCTAAGTTGAGAACAGCATGCCACCAGCCTTCGGGAACCTGAGCATAATAATCGTCATTGTCATTGTCATTGTCATCGTCGTCAACAACAACAGAATGAACAGCAACGCCATCAACAACAGCAACACCACTGAATGACATACAAAGTACGCACAAAGATGGTCTCTCCGGCTCGCTGAATGCATTCGATCATCCCGAGTTTCTTTCCAAGTCCCTCCTGTCAATCCTCAACATGAATTGCGATATCGCCACTTCATGCAGCAAATTTTCTACTTTGACAATCTTAGGGTATATTTCCGACCACCATCTGTTTGACTCGTCAACATATAGATGAAAAGGATCCGATCGATACATGCATGGAGGAACCATCTTGTTCTTGTAGGAATTCTTCTCGATCCCAAGGCTCTTCAGAACTTCGTCGTCAGAGATCGGAGGGAATAAGATCCAACTGGCAAACAAGGTCAGCAACTAACAGTCTTGCCCTCTGCTCTTGCCGCTTGTTCCCACAAAGCAGCGTGTTCCATGCTGAGGTGCAATTGGGATCAACATGCATGTTGGTCCCTGTACGCGCTCCCCCGACGATGAAGAAGGTATTCTTAGGGAAGATGTGTCGTGTTTCCTGACTGAGTTCATAACAATCTTCCTGAAACAACTTCGGTACTTCAAAGTCTTCCAGCCTGTTTGCCTTGCTGTCATGGTACTTTCAACATCGCTCCAACTCACAAGCATCGTCGCTCTCCCTCGAAGTCGTCATCGAAGCCATACCACGGGAACTCCGCTCCTCCGCTATCTTGACTAGCGTACGACACATAATGACGTCTTCAAACAGCGCAGTCAGTTCTCCTCCATCCCCCTTCCTCGCATCACAGTGAGATTCTCAGCGGTCTTGCAACGTTTGTCTTGGCATCAGCGATCTCCGTCACCCTCACAGCAACGTCCCCGTACCATCGGACGAGCTCTTCCGCTCCTCTCCACCGCTCCTTCGCCCTCCACCCATGGCTGCAGCCCAAGATCATGCATGGCCGACCTTGAGCAGCGTAGTTGCGATGGAAGGCCTCGGTCGTCTGCTCTGATGATTGAATGTACTCGATCGAGTTGCAACCCCGTGGCTGCAGGTCCTTCACAGCATCAAGGCACTTGTTGAACTCTCCGCTCCTATCACGACACGTTCTGCTGCTCTGGGAGCAGAGGAACTGGACGTCCTGAGCAAGCAATTGGTCGACGTCTTGCTGTGAGCCGAGAGCCCAGAGCTTTCTGTCGGCTTCAGACAACTCCATGTGTCTGAAGTTACCTGTCGCAAGATGAGAGAGTCTTTCAAGGTCAACAATACCACAATCCTCCGAATGCGCATGCCTAACTCCGCCTCCACTCGCTCCTGTCGTTATGTCTCGTGCTCTGCATCATCACCTGCCTACTCATCTGCGTCCCTAGAGTCTCCCCTCCTCCTCCTCCTCCTCCTCCTCCTCCTCCTCCTCCTCCTCTACACGTTTCGCCATCCCATCCCATGTTCCTCGCAGCCTCCATTCCGCCGATCACCCACCCCGGAAGTGTAATCTTTTTCCTGGTAAAATGAAGGGGTAGTCATCCAACAATGAGCTCTGGCATTTGAACAGCAGGCATGCACTACCTGCCGAGGTGGAGGAAGAGGGAGGCGCGAAGGACAACAGCAGTGATGATGGTTTGATGTGTAAGAGCCGCAAGCAAGGATCGAAGTAGCGGCCAGATCGTTGTATCGCTGGCCGTGATCGAAGCAGAACAATTGCACTGCCCATGTTGACAACGATGCTGCTTCCAAACTTGGACGACAGTGGCGACGTTGATCAGCAGGCTTACAGCTCGCTGGAGCAGAGGTACCAAGAGCGATCCATCGAGTGCATGCAGCTGCAAGAGTCGATGATCAAGCTACAAACAGAACTCGATATGGCAAAGAAAGAGATCTCCCAGCTCAGGGAAGAATCGATAGAGAAAGACCTGAGGTGTTGCTTTACTGCCATCATTGTCTTCCATGTCTGATCTCCTGCTTCTTCAGAATCATGCAGCTGGAAGAGAAGCAGGCCCAGAGCTCGTCAGAGCTCTCTTCCACCAAGGTGGAAACTAGCATCCTGGAGATGCAACTGGTGGACAAGCAGCATTCGTTCCAAGAGCTCCAAGAAGCTGTTGAGTACTACAGGAGGACGCAGAGGCAGTTGTACATCCAAGTTGCCAACATGCAGAAGGAACAGGACGATGATGTCAGGAAGCTGGCAGAAAGGGAAGCGACGTTGGGATTCTTTCACCAGGACCTCGTTGCTCAGGTGTTCGTCCTGTATGCCATGGCGCAGGCGCAGAGCTACAGGGGCTCGGGACCAGCGACGTCAAGGCTGCTGGAGATGATGGAGCAAGAAGAGTCAGCTCAAGCGTTTGTGTTCCTGGGGTTGTCGAGCCTGTGTGAAGATCAAGACAGGAAGGAAGCGGTCTGCAAGGAGTGTGATAGGATTCTCCCTCAGTTGATCAAGGTTATGAACGGAGGAGGGCTGAGGTCGAGGAGGTACGCAACGCTGCTCATGATGAGCCTGTGCAAGACGGATCAAGGGAGGAGGCGGGTGTGCGATCGGAAGGAAGTCGTCCAGATGGTGCTTCACATGCTGTCCGATCGAGATGCTCTTACTGTGAAGTATGCAATCCATGCACTCTGGTGGCTCCACTCCGATCGTTCCCTCAGGAAGAAAGCTGTCGCTGCTGCCAAGGACGTGAATGTCTATGAAGCTCTGCGCGACCTCAGAGCACAGGATGACATCACGACGGCCCTCGCGTTGGAGGTGAGGAGGTTATACAACACAGATGAGAAAGTTTCCGACGTTTGATCGCGCTCAAGGCGATGTAAGAGAATGTTTACACCAAGTGAAGAAGTCCCTTCTGTCTGTCTCCAAGGTATGACAACATTGACATGTACCATCTATTGACTATCAGTGAATAAATTGTTGATCTTCATAATGTGCACCCGGCCTGGAGCAAGGTCAAGAGCAGAAATCCCGATTTTGTCGTTGTGTTGCGACTTGACATCTGACCTTGTTCAACCGGCGCTTCCCCTTCGTCAAGACTCGTCATCATCCTTGTCATCCTACGATCTCGGTCGTTGAGAGCCTCCTGGGTGGCTGCAGCGACGTCAGGGTGACAGCGAGTCTCACTTGCACACACCTGTCAACGATTCCTGCAGCCTTTTGATCTCCTGCTGCATGACTTGCTCTCTTCTCTACATCCTCGTCAGGTCCTCATCCATCGCCGAGCGCGACGTACCTGAAGGCTCTCACGGAACGCCGCCACCTCCCCCTCGAGCAAGTCCGTCACTTCATCGCGCTGTCGAACTTGTCTTCGCAGCTCCTCAATCTCTGCATTCAGCTTCTCGTTCTCGCTCTTCATCTTCCCATTCTCCTCCTCCAGAGCTTCGCATCTGGTATTCTTCTGGTCCAGCTCCTCTGAGAGCTGCCTGCACAACCACGTCAACAGCGCAAGGAGCGCGGGGCAGCATGGCGCTACCGCAGACTGTCCTTGGCCAGCCTGAGGTTGTTGTGGAGGTCGTCAGCTTCATCGCACTTGGCTTGTAGGAGGTCACGGAAGTGCGCAAACTCAGCAGCCGACGGCGCCTGCAGGCGATGAGCGGGAGGGGAGGAGGGGAGAAGGAAGGGAGGAGCACAGGAGGAAGGGAGGAGGAGGAATGGAGCAGATGAAGTGGCGGCGAGGAAGGGAGGAAGAGGGACGGAGCAGAAGAAGTGGATGCGAAAAGGAGAGGAGGGTTCCAACCTTGGCCGGGGTAGAGCTCTTGACGCTGGCAGGGGAGTCAGGAGCCTGTCAAGGATGTCAAGGTATCAGAATCTGAGGGAGGAGCAGCGATTTGCCCGACCTCGTTCCCTCCAGCTTTGCCGTCTTTCTTCCGCTTGCTCCACATGATGGCAGACTTCCCAGGAACTCTTTCGATTGCCGCTCACTCCTGTCTCACCAGCACGAGCACATCGCTCCTTTCATGGCTCGGAGCTCCTCTTCCCTCCTCACTCTTCTCCTCCACTCTCCTCTCCCCTCCCCTCCCCTCCCACCTTCTCCTCTCGTCCCCCTGCTCTGCTCCACTATCCCCTCCTCACGCCCTCCCTTCCCTTCAGCTCTACAACCTCTCTCCTCCTCTCGCTCCTCGTCGCGTCTCCTGCCCCCGCGAGCGCCCGATGGACATTTCCGTTTTTACTTTTTCTGTCCCGCCTCAAATCCCTCGCCTCAGGTCGGCATGCGCGCAAGCAGCATGATACTGCTCTCGCTCATGCCCTCCCTCCTGAGCTGCTCCAGCAGGGTCGCTGCCTTCACTCGCCCTGTCCTCTCCTCCATCCCCACCAGTCAGGCACGTACGCGACTTTCCACAAGCAGCAGCTCCATGTGCTCAAAGATCGAGACGTTCCACCCTCGGCAGACGGTGAGAGGCTTTTCTTCATGGCCGGCGGCTGACGTGCAGCATGGCGCCTCCTCGCATCTAGGCTGAGTCCTCGCTGGATGTCAAGTGGAAGAATCCAACGAGCATCCATGTTGTGCTCGGATCCAAGTCGTTCACGCGGCAGCTGCTGGTGGGACATGCTGGTCGTGAGCATGGCGAGAATAGACTGACGGCGAGCAGCTCAAGGAGATGGAAGTGGAGTACGAATGCTTCCCGCCAACATTGACGAGAAGGCCATCCGCTCGGAAGATCCTGAGGTAGTATGCTCCTGTCCTGCTCCTCTCAACGTCTCCTCCTCACGTCTCTTCCTCCAGAAGCTGGTGCTGGCGCTGGCAAATGCCAAGGCAGACGCGCTGTTACAGCGTCACTGCAAGGATGGGAAATGGTGAATCTTGATGGAGGTCTGGCGAGAGAGGTGCTCACAAGCGCCATGCTCCCCGAACAGGACCGGAAGCGAGCAAGTGGACGAGAGCAAAGTCACGCTGCTGCTGACCAGCGACCAGGTTCGATCGCATCCTGACCAGCGTCACCAACTGAGGCTGCGAAGGTGGTTGTGCATGAGGGAAGGATACTCGAGAAGCCGGAGGACCAGGAGGAGGCGAGGTCTTTCATATCGGGGTATGGAAGGAGTCCTCCCTCCACAGTGGGTGCGATAGCGGTCACCAACGTTGCGACGGGGAAGCGGGTTACGTCGCTTGACAAGGCGACGATAGTTTTCAAGTAGGAGATGCTGCTGCTGCTGATGATGATGATGATGATGATGATGATGATGATGATGGTGATGGTGATGGTGATGGTGGTGGTGGTGGTGGTGGTGATGGTGGTGGTGGTGATGATAATGATGATGATGATGGCGATGATGATGATGGCAATGATGATGGCGATGATGATGATGATGGCGATGATGATGATGATGATGGCGATGATGATTATGATGATGATAATGATGATGATGATGATGATGATGATGATGATGATGATGATGATAGTAGTGACTTCTGACGGGTGTGTAGCTCAATCCCCTCCGACGTGATCGAAGAGATTGTGAAGGATGACATGACGCTGCACTGTGCTGGTGATCGCGACCAGTCGTCCTCCCTGTCCCCTGCCTCTGATCCTCCTTGCAGGAGGGCTCATGGTTGAAGATCCCAGGATCCAGCCCTACCTCGTCAGGATCGAAGGAGGTGGCGGGTAGGGTTGAGGCAAGGAACAAAGTTCTGACTGTGGGAGTGTCCAGGAATGGACTCTGTGATGGGTTTGGGTAAACGGACCACAAGGTTTTCCGAAGACTCTTCTGGTCACCAGTGCGACTGACAACTTGTTCTAGGTCCTTGTTAGAGTCTGTCTTGCAGTGAGAAGTTTGTTGCTGACTAATAAACCACCGTCACCTGCGGCGGGCAGCGACTACCCGGTGTACCGGCCCGGGTCCGATCAATGCCGCTGCAATTCGACGAAGCGCGCCGTAGCGGAGCAGACTCGGCAGGCATTGGTGGCTTAGCCGGCGGCCGCCCGGCCCGGCCGGTCCCGGTGCCACCGTGACCACGGTGACTCAGTCGGACCGGACGTCCGACCCGGCGTCACTGGCGGCCGCGGCCGGCCGAGACTGACTGGCCCGAGAGTCTGGGGCCAATTGTAACGGAAAGCAACTGTGAGAAGAGACCGTAACGGGTGCAACGGCAGCTGCTATGGCAGAGGACGGCGTCAATCTGCAGCACTATCAAGGATGCGGTGAAGCAGCTTTCTCCTCCTACCTCGCCGACTCCTCCTCCTCCTCCTCCTCCTCCTCCTCCTCCTCCTCCTCCTCCTCCTCCTCCTCCTCCTATCCTTCCTCTCCTCCTGCTCTCCCTCTCCATCCCTCGTAACTGTCTCATCCCCCACATCACTGTTTCCCTCAAACCGCAATGCCTGACAGTCGCTTCTTGGCACAGCCCTTGGACAGGCGTTGAAGGAGGCGATAGATGAGCTCAGGTAACTCAGCATGCAACTCTATCAAGCTAGGTGATCGTGAACTCCTGCTGGTACTCACGTGGAGCCTTGCTCCTGCTGCGGTACAGGGCGAACGGGACTATGGAAGATCACCATGAGAACATTGTGCTCGGATGTTTCGACAAGTCGATAACCGATTCTCTTGGAGGAGGTAATTGGAGCAGACTCATTGCTTCTCCTGTGCTGTAGCTTCTTCAACTCCATGCTGTTCCACACCACCTTGTCCAACTTTGCAGTTTTGCCGCGATTTGATCATCTGATAACATTCCAGACGGCATCTTCAAGAAATCAGAAGAGTTGGAAGAATGGTTCTTCTCTATCCTTGGTTTCTCATTGAGAGATTGATGATGGTTGAAGGTATGGGAGGACAAAGCTGACCATCAAGGGTCACCTGCAAATGTTTCGCGGGGTGGACAATGTTTGGACCCTGGTGCGATGTCGCTGAGATCTCCTCCTCTTCTTGATCCTCCTTGCAGGTGCTGACAGAAGGCAAGACGGGAAACAGAGCAGGAGACAATCGCAAGGTGCCATGGCTGACAGCGTTTCTTCACGCGAGCTGCTTGCTCATACGACCTCTTTACAGGTCTCAATACGCGTCGAGCCGGGAGACACCGAGTACAACGTCGATGCTCTAAAGATCGTTGCGATGCAGAGAGCTGAACCTTAGGATGCGATGGTCGTTTGTTGTGGGCTTGCATTTTCTAGTCTGATATCATAGAGTCCCTTGTCAGTGTAGCCGAATGTAGGGGGTGACACAGTTAGTTTTGTCTTTACAGGTGGTTTGGAAAAAATCCTGTTGCTCTAGAACCTGTTGTTGTCCAGTGCGCCGTATGATACAGTGATTGACCGCAAGATGTACTGCACTGCCATGAGCAGGAGCACAGGAAAGGATTTGCATCGCACCTGTCCTTCGTTGGCGAGCGCTGGTAGGATGTAGGGGTAGATGGGCTGTGGGTACGTTTCACTTCGCCCGCCAAAGGCCGAGTCAGAGTTTCACCTGCACCACTGTTCCTTGCCAGCTGCCTCCGTACTGGAGAGTTGAGGTGAGAAGAGGACGCAAACTGGTCGAGTTACCGTCGTGCAGTCAACCTCGGACAAGCTCCCCTCGCAAGTCGTGTTGTGGTTGGAGCAGAAGCAGCTCCCGATACTGCCTGCTGTCAGACCCTCTCGCATTCATGCTGAAGAGCTTCACCTGTGAGCCTGGAGGACAGAGTTCCCAACTCCCCGGACGACCTGTAGGCTGTTGCCCTCGTACGCCACTACTTGCATGAGCTCGGATTCCACCAGCACGTAGAAGCTGCGAGTGAGTGTGACAGAGGAACACAAACACGTTCACCCTCCCGCTCACCTCTCGCAGTCTCTGCAGATTGTCGTTTGATCGATACCCGCGACTGAAGCATTCAAAACCTCGATGCTGGTCTGGCTGGAGTTGATGTTTTGTGCCTGAACCACGACATAAGACACAAGTCCTTCATCCTCCTGCTCCTGCTCCTGCTCCTGCTCCTGCTCCTGCTCCTGCTCCTGCTCCTGCTCCTGCTCCTGCTCCTGCTCCTGCTCCTGCTCCTACCACAGTCCCTCATGCCTCCCATCTGCTCCTGGCCTTGCTCCTGCTCCTGCTTCCCTAAAAGAAAAAAATGGCCCCACCAGGTAGGTGTACCCCGATCCTCTGAGGAACTTCGATCGAGCATGTTCTTCAGAGCCAACCGCGTCGAGGTAGGGGAAGCAGCGAGGATGCTGCGGGTGAAGAGCACAACTGAAGGGAAAGTTCAGAGTTGCTGCAGCCTACAATCTCTACCTCTCAGCTCTCACCTGAGCGCCTGCCGGGGCTCGTCGATCTCGATGAGGATTTCAAGGAGGTTGTCCGACAGAACGTCTCGTGCCAGCTCGAAGGGGAGACGGACGCTGTCGATGATAGGCTTCGTTGAATCATAGCCGTCGTATGAGTCTCTGCACTGGAGCAGCAGTCAGCTCATGCGTCCATCGTCTCTCCTGTTGACCCTCCTGTTTCCCTTCCTCTCTCTCTCCCTCTTCTCACACTCTCTGCCTCCTCCTCTCTCCCCTCCTCTCTCCTGCTGTTCTCACCTGCCAGCTGCAGTCAGGGGATCCGAACAAGTGCCCCAGGGTTCGCATATCTCCTTCTCCCAGCCGGACTCGCAGCCAGTTATCGCTGCGGAAGGGGAAGGGGACTGTGGCTTCGACGAAGATGGTGACGTCACTTGCAGGAATTCCCTTGGTGGAGATGGAGAACGGATAGCTTGCGTTGATGGGAGAGCGGATGCAAGACTTGGAGCTGCGGCAGTAGCAAGTGCCGTCTGCCTGCTTCCTCGCCTGGCCGGCCACGCAGGAAGCTCTCCCCTCTATGCTACAGACACAAGCCTCTGCCGGGTTGGCGCACGTGCCGTCGGCGATGAAGGGCTGGTAGCAGACGCCGGGGGAGGCGGACATGGAGGAGAAGCTCCAGCACTCGGTGCGGCACTTGGCCACTGAGATGAACTTGCGCTTGTTGGCCGGGCCAACAGCGGAGCACTCCCACCAGTCGTCGCAGTACTGAAGCTCGCGCTCTATGGGCCTTCCCATGAGCCCGAGCACCCCCATCCCCTCCTTGAGGCTGGTCACCGAGCAGGAGAGGGGGGGGTAGAGGATGGAGGCCTCGTTGAGGACTAGCTGGTCGGGGTGTCCGCTGGCATCGGGCTCTCCCCGCAGGAAGACGTCGATCTTGGTCCTGGCGTGGAACTGAGCAGCCGTAGCCTGAGCCATAAGGAGGAAGTTACTGCGAGAGATCCGACTCGTTTCAAATTCTGTCACGCTCCTTACAGGACCCGAGCCCAACACCTGCCCAGCTCCGGCGAAGAGCATAGCGACGAGGGAGGAAGGGCTCCCCGGGCTGGAGGCGGAGGAGTTGATATAGACGCCGACCCAAGTGTTCACAGGCTGCAGGACACCAGTAGCATTCATCGTGATCGCCCCGTCGTCTGCAGCTGGGATCACCTTGGGAATACTGAGGGTTTCGAAGTATCCAGAGGTTCGGTCGGGGGCCCTGGCGATGCCGGGGAAGCGGACGGCGCTGTAGGAGTAACACCCTCCAACACTGAACTCGATGGTAGCAGAAACGAGCCTGACGGTTGTAGCGAGGTTTGAGGCAGCTACACCCAGTCCGATCTTGAGTCGGCGGTCCGCGGAGTAGACAGACATAAGGGAGCGAGGGACGACTACCCCGTCTGTGACGACATAGGGTTCAACAACCTCATCCTTCATGAAGATGGAGGCATTGGTGCTGTTCACATTCGGAATGTTTGAGCACTCTCCCGAGCCGTCGTTGCCACATGCACTGGCAGTTACAGAGAAGTCATTCGCAGTAACGAACAGCCTTCCGAGCTCCTCCCCCTTCTCTCCGTAGACAGAGACGTACTTGTCCTCTCCCAGCAGGTCCCCTGAGGCCTCGATCACTAGGGATGCATCAGAGCAAATCTGCGGGATGCTGGGGAACTCAATGTACTCTAGCCAAGGTCGGATCAGGTCCGTGTTGAAGGTCGTGGTTGCCACTGCCGGCCTTACTGTCAGCCTGGACTTCAACTCGGCCGAGCAAGTTGCTGTGCCTATAGTTTGCTGCACGTTCGCTGACTGTTCGGAGGGCGGCGAGAGAGGGGCAAGACCTCCTTCCAAGACCAGAGGATTCTTCAACCAAGACCGTTCCTCCACCCCGTCATAGTATCCGGCTCGGATTTTCAACCCGCTCAAGCTCGTCAAGACCTGAAGGATCTCAAAGTTCTGGGCAGGTTTGCCTGTCTTCAGGTTGTACCATCTTGCTGGCCCTCCAACACAGTTCCTGTCGCAGCAGTCTTCGTTGGTCTGACATCTGTCGTTCATCCCAGCGCAAACGCTTGAACTTGACCCACTCTTACAAAACTTCTGGAAAGGCTCCGCAGAGAAAGTCACGTTGTACACTCTGTTCATTGAATCCCCGGTGTACACATACCTTGCTCCGAGTTGAATCTTCTTCTTCTTCGACTCTATGATCACATCAGCCTGCTTGCTGTTGTTCTTTAACTCGCCATTGAAGAAGTAGTGACCAAAGTTATACTGCAGTACTCCATTCATGAACGCTCGCTTGTCCCCGAGAAACTTGGCAGGAGCTGTGAAGTACCAATATACATTTCCCTTGTCTACTCCCTTGATCCGCTGCGTCACTCGATCTACGTCGAGCTGTATCGGATTCCCCACAAGCTTCCCATCCCACGTTGCATACCATCCGTCTGCATCACGAAAGAATGCACTTTCAACTAAAATATCACCTGGCGCTCCACGTACAGGTGATACAAGCATGCAGTGCATCACAGCTAACAACGACAAAGTCGCAGGTATGGTTTGAAAGCAGCATGTTCGTTTCTTAGTCAAGATATTCGATTTGACGGCTGAATGGATGTTCGTAGTGTGCAGCACAAGGTCTGTTGGACGTGTTGTGACATCGTGGAGGTGCATTCCCCGGTGACGAGAGATCTTCGGGTATGAGCGTCGGTCAAAACTTTCGGATCCGCTTCTCTTCGCAGATGATCCATTGAAGTCGATCGAACTTTCTCCTGCGGCAGCCCATTGACGGTCGTCACCAAGGCTCGACCCTGCGAGGGTTCGAGATGACGAGCAGGATACAGACGATGCACAGGAGGAGGAGGAGGAGGAGGAGGAGGAGGAGGAGGAGGAGCAGGAGGAGCAGGAGGAGGAGCAGGAGGAGGAGCAGGAGCGATGGTGCGACTTCAGTCGATTTATCAGCGCCATCGGGATCATGTCCCAAACCGACGTAACGGCTCGAAACGGTCTGTTCAACCACCATCAACGGTCAAAAGGAATTCACCATGGCGATGCTCGGGGAGGAGGAGTTGGAGGCTGCGCTAATGGCGTACTGCAAGAGCGTGGGAGGAGGAGGAGGAGGAGGAGCATCTGAAGAGTCTTTCGCCAAAGGTATCGGTGGGTCGAAGGAGGATCACATAGCAGAGAAGGTTTGCCCCTGCTCCCTCCAACACATTCATGACTGATCCGCTCCTGCGCAGGTGGCAGGGGAGGTCCTGCGAAGCGCCGGATCGCAGCCCTCGGACGAGGCTGGCAAGGAGAGCAACACTACCTTGTTCGAAAAGTGGATCTATGGCACATCAGCAGCAGCGAAGGAGGCGCTGAAGGGGAAGGCGGCTCCCCCTGCAGGAGAGTACTCCAAGGGGAGGTGGATAAGGACACTGAACAATCAAGGGACGTGCTACCTGTACATACACACCTCCACGTACCAAATGCAGGGGACAAGGCCGGAGGACTTCGTCGATGATGGCAAGCAAGAGGAGGCTGAGGATCCTTACGAGAACTTCCCCTCGTGCTACAAAGACGATATGGATGACGCTGTATGGGCTGTTTACGCATCCCTTGCCCTGCATCCCCTGCCCTGCCTCCACTCCCCTCACCGTCCTGCCCTGCCCTGCCCTGCCCTGCCCTGCCCTGCCCTGCCCTGCCCTGCCCTGCCCTTCCCTGCCCTGCCCTGCCCTTCCCTGCCCTGCCCTGCCCTGCCCTGCCCTCCCTCCTCTGCCTCCCCTGCCTCCCCTGCCTCCCCTGCCTCCCCTGCCTCCCTTTCTCTCTGTCCTCCGCAAAGCCTCCAGAAGAGAGCTTGACAAGTTCTGCTGTAGATTGCAAAGCTTTGGAAGTCCGGGAAGGTGCCTTTGCTGTTGTGCTGCGGGGACCAGGGGTACGATGAAGTGAAGGTCAGAGCACGAAGAGTTGATCTCGCAGTCTGAGGTTACAGCTGCAGAAACTTCTAACGTCCAGTCCCAAGAATCAGTTGCTAGACGTTGCCCCTTTCGTGAAGGGAGTCATCGCTACTAAGGTGAACGACTGGCAGGAGGAGGAGACCTTTCACTCAGACCCATCCTTCCATGCAGATCAAGTTCGCCGACCATGTCGAGACAGCTCGCAAACTTGCGGTGCAGGCGATGAAGGCAGGAGGGATTCTGGTGACTTGTAGCTGCGTTGTCAAGATGCTCAGGCTTTGGGGCAGGTAATCGACCTTTCGACTATTGGCAGCCCAAACTGGAAAGAGAAGATCTGCCAGGTGGAGGAGTACAAGAAGGTAAGTTTGAGGAAGAGGAAGTTTGGTGTCTGGAGGAAGAAGGGAGGAGGAGGGAGGGAGGGAGGGAGGGAGAGAGAGAGGGAGGGAGGAGGAGGAGGAGGCGGATTCTTACAGGATGATATTATCTTCAGTCATTTCCGATCTGGGTCTTGGATCCGAACGCCCACAAGGAGGTTGACAAGCACGGGCAGATCTTTAGGAAGGAGGAGAAGAAGGACGTAGGAGACAAGGTGAGCCTCTCTCCTCTCCTTGCCTTGGTGATGCCATCCTGTAAGGACTGGGACGAAGCGCTCGCCGAGTCTCTCCCATCCTTCCGTGCGACTTTTGGGGGATGGAGGCGAAAATTGACGATAAGGGACAGGGATCGTTTACCTGTGCGCGTTCGGTCCAGACAACTATGAGAAGAATGTGCAGAGTGAGATGCTTCCGCAGGTGAGAAGTTTTTGACTTGCCGCGGGTGAGGATGTGAACTGACGATGATGATGGGTAAGGGGAAATGGAGTGCTTTGAGAGTGAAACAAGAGGTTTCTTGCTGCTGCCCTGCGTGCTCCCGTCCAAGTGAAGTTGTCCTTGTCCAGTTTGATTCGAAGAGTATCAACCTCAAGTCTCTCATCGACACTCTCGATTCCATCATTCACGAGAAGGTTGTCTCGTCTGTCGTCACGACTTGATCTGTCTGCATGTTTGCCTGCCTGACTCTCGTCTCGTTGTTGGATCGAGTTCCGTTAATCTTTATCTTGTGTTCTCTACTCCAGGGCAAGATACCCGTCATCTCAGATCCCACTGAGAACACCGACACCTTTTTCGCCTTTCAGAACAGCAACGTGAGCTGTCAGTGTTTGCCTGGCTACCCTGACCTGCCGTGGAAGATCATTGAGATGAAATCTGTCATCGTTGCCAAGAGCTCACAGGGTCTTGAGGTCAGTCGCCTCTCCCACCTCGATCGACTTTTCTTCTGAAGGGATTGCATGCCCCGCTAATGCGCATCTGTCAATGTTTCGTCTGCTCGTGCTCGTGCTCGTGCTCCTGCTCCTGCTCCTGCTCCTGCTCCTGCTCCTGCTCCTGCTCCTGCTCCTGCTCCTGCTCCTGCTCCTGCTCCTGCTCCTGCTTCTTCTTACACCCGCTTCATCCCTCATGGTTCTGTCAGAGCGCCCTTGAGAAGATGAGGCAGAAACTCGTAGCAGCGCTCAAATCAGGTTCCTCTCATGACCAGAGGAGGAGTGTAACCTGTGGCAAGGGAACACGCTTGTCCTCCGACTGTCCAACTCTACTCCCGACCTTGAAGTCGTCTCCTCCATCTCCTCCTCATCTCGTCGCTGATGGATCTTGACAGGCGTACAAGTCCGACGAGTTCTTTCCCTCAATCCTCTTCGACTGCCACGTGGAGGAGGTAAGGGGCTCAGCCTCCTCAGCCCTGCACGTAACGACTGGCTCCAGGTTGAGGAGCAGGCCGAAGAGCAAGTCTACGGTGGATTTGGAGGGAAGGCGAGCGAAGGTAAGGAGGAGAAGGTGGAACGGAGGGTGACAGCGAGCAAGGGCCAGGAAAGAACCGTCTCAAGACGAAGGCTGTGTTCGACGTGTGCGGGAAGGAATGGCTGAACAAGCTCTTCCGTGAGCAGGACAAGGAGTCTGGCATAGCAGTGGTAGGATCATGCCATCGCGTCTTGCTTCCCTGAAGCTCCTGACAGAGTCGAGACGGATTCAAGATCATCGTTACCACCAACCTCAGCCCGGCAGAGATCAGCAGCAAACTCTCTTCCTCCCTCCCTCTCTCCAAGTGCATGATACTTGAGGTGAAGGAGTGATGATTAGTTTCAATGATTATTTTCAAACTTCTTTAAACCAAGAGTTCGGTGCCTCCATTGAACTTTTACATTTGACAACTTACCCCTGTTACCTTTCGTTTCAAACTAACACTTGCGTTGCCTTCACTTGGGAAACGAGGGACGACGGGATATGTCGAAGGGGTTGATAAAATCTGTAGGCAGCATCCCAAACGTAGGAGCTCCGGCTGATCTTACTCCTGTCGCACCAAACGATGAGGCTCCACCAGCCGCTGCCGCAGCAGCCGCCGCCGCCACAGTAGCTACCGCAGCAGCAGCTATATCGCCATGCTGGTTCTCTCCCTCTCCCTCGATGTGGGTGAAGCGATTGTTGGGCATCAGCGTTGAAAGTCGAGCTTGATTCGCATACAGCCCATGGAATGCCCCGAGAAAAGGTTGAAGCACCGGAGGCTGCGGCGGCAACGCCACCAAACGAGAGGGAAGCGGCTGAATGTCTACAGCTGGCTGCATCCGACCCTGCACGGTGCTGAAGGCAGAAGGACCGGCATCCGCCTGTCCTCTATCTCCTGAATTCAGGAAAGACTCGCGAATCTGCTGCAAGGAGGAGGCGAGGGAGATAGATTCAGTGTTCAAGGCCTCGGTGCCTGACCGGGGCATCATGATCCTGTTGGCAGCGCCTGTCAGTTGTTCTGGCTCCCCTGAGCTGAAGGTTGCGAGCTGCTCTTTGGCACGTGACATTCGCACAGCTTCCGCCGCCTCGACCAGCGGCGCAAACCTCTTTTCCAACGCCTTGGCGAACAGGCTCAACTTTTGTCGTCCTGCATCTGTCTTGACCATGGAAGCGATAGTTTGCTGCCATGAGATCAACATCTGGTATTCTTTCTCCTCTCAATCTCACCATGTCATCCTCGGGAGCGTCCTTCAACAGCGTGTCACCGTCTCGGTAATCGCCCATATCATAAGCAAATGGTCGGCACGTTGCTGGATCTATCTTTTGTCTTGCATTGTATTCTTCTGGCGTACACTGCAGACAAGGCATTAGTAGCTATGAGGGAGGGTAAGTAGACCATCTATTACCACTATCATAAAGTGTCGAATGGCTTCTGACCTTCCTAACCAATCAAACTGCTTCTCGGTGACATGTCGCACCCTGGCTCGCAGCAGGTGAGGAGACGACAGATCAAAGTACTCACTAGTCACTCACAAGGCATATCCCGAGGTCGGACCGATACATCTAAACCTTGCATACCTCGTGCATGTATGTTGCTTTGATCGAAGTATCTGAAGATGAGAGTCAGAGCGAGTTACAAGCTCCCTTGCGTACATCATCCATGCAGTAGCACAGCCAGTCGAACTGTGACATGTGCAATGGAACCTCGCGATTCGCAAGACGAGCAAGCATTTCCTGTAGCACTCAACTCAAACCCTCTGGACGCGTTCAGGTCAAGATCGGCTAACCTCTTTGTGCATGCCATTCAGTTTTGCCAAAGTGTTAGAGACGAAGACATCGTCCCTTTTATCCGATGTCGGATTCCACCTCAATCTCAACACTCCGGCATGCTCGGAGCTTTCCCAAATCTTGTTTTCCAAATCTTCTACGATCTCTCTGTCAGAATTTATCTTGGATGCGTCGCTGAGTTGAGTGATCTCTTTGGGCACTTTCCTGGCCATAGCAGCCTACGAGCTCAACATCAACATGGCTCCGAAAGCCAGCGGGAATCATATTCATACCATTCTTTCTTTCACGAGTACATCTAGAGCTGACAATCCTCGTCTCATGACCGCTTCCAAATCAGGCGGAAGATTTGCAAAAATGTCTAACAAAGACTTTTGACAGGTTCCAAACTCCCAACACCTGCATCATACTTGATCAGTAGATCTCCAACAACGAGTCCGTTGACCTCCTCAAAACACCATGCGCCCAACCACGGTCTTTCATCACTTCGCTAAGCAAGCACTCCTGCTTCAAAAACTTTTCGTCGTAAGCGAAGGAGAGATTTCCTCTGAACCTGATCGAAGACCGTCAATAGATTATAGAACACCTCTGAGTTGCTATCACCCTATCGGCCTTTCAATCTCCCCACTGTCCTCCTCTCGCACATTCCGAACGGCAAGAGATAGTTCATCGCCCCTCGAGTCTGCCGACTGCAAACACGAGTCTCCCTTTCCCAACCGCTTGCATCTCCCACATGGTCGCGACTCATCACATTTCACTTTGGATCGACGGCACTGCAGACATGCACGCGAAACCTGTTTCCTCTTCGGCTTTGACAGCAAGAACGCGCTCTCTTGGTCGTTCAGGTACCAGTTCTCGTCCTCATTCGGAGCGTTGGGGTCTGAACTGGAGGACCGGCAGGTCACTGCATCTCCATTGCGCACACAGAAGCTGCATGGCCGTCTATCATCGCACTTCACCTTGGACTTTCTGCATGCTTCACATGCTTTCTGCACATGCCTCCTCTTGTGCTTTCTTTGTTCGTCGCCGGGCCCATCCGTCGGAGAAAGTTGATCAAGAGACACTGGTACCCTCGCACCCTCCTGATCTGCCGCACTTCCCCGTGCTTGCTGGGTCTCCTCGAAATCAGATTTGGCCATGATGCGCCTCCCCTCTAAATCAAAACCATGGCCCAGCGATCTGGACAAACCGCGTCAAATAAGTGTCGTACAAAGAAGCAAAGAAGCATTGGGCTACAAATTTCAAAGGTTATCAACACCAAGGTTCTTGGACTAGCGGGCAAACAGAGATTTAAGTTCGCTAAAGAAAACTTCATCCTTTGGACGATCTGCCCTGATGATTCCAATGTTGACAACATTTCTCAGTTACGCCTTGGGAGAAATGATGAAGGAGGGAGCGCGCGTGCGTGCGGGGGGGATGCGTTTTCTTTCGCCTACTGCATTCTTTCCCTTTTGGCACTCACGAGATCAGTTTTCTACCTTGCTGCTTTCATCTTCCTCCCAACCATTCCCATCGCTCTCCTGCTTCTCCTCCATCAGGTGCATGAACTGCACTACCCCGCCTTCAGTCACCTGTACCACCCCACCCTACTCGGAACGAACGGATATTCCCCCTCTCCTGATTTAAAACCAACTTTGAGTAAAATGGAATGAGTTGTCAACAGGCAGCTTTGTTGATGTTTTTGAGGATAAAACAGGGAGGGAGGGAGGGAGGGAGGGAGGGAGGGAGGGAGGGAGGGAGGGAGGGACGGAGGGAGGGAGGGACGGAGGGACGGAGGGAGGGACGGAGGGACGGAGGGACGGAGGGAGGGAGGGACGGAGGGAGGGACGGAGGGACGGAGGGAGGGAGGGAGGGAGGGAGGATGACAGCGGAGAGAAGGAGCATGATCGGTGAGGGAGGGAGGAGATATGGTGAAGCATTTTTCTTGAGAGCAGACACTTAGATGCTTTCCACTGTTTGAACCTGCAGATTTGGTTCGTTGCTGTACGAAAAATAGTTGAGCAAAACGTGACATGTTACTTGAACCTAGAACGTACCCCTTTGATACTTGACTCTTAATATTCCTTTGCGAAATATGCTCATGGAGAACCTTGTTTGCTCCACGTGGCTTGTTTCGGATCATGGATATAGTCATAAATTGATGGGAAGATCAAGGAGAGAAACGTGAATACTGACGAGGGCAGCAGTCTTGACCAAAGAAGGTGGCTAGGTACTTCGTTCTTGCACACGATCAGGCAGAAAATCATTTTTTTTTCCAAACATCACCTTGAAAGCTCGAGGGTGGCACATACCCTAACTTCGAGGCTGGTTGATGTCAAAGACCATATGTGTCAGCATCAACCATTCTATCTTTAAGATGCTCCGATCCAAATCCGCAAAACAGGTTTGTGTTGTCGTATTTTCTTTTTGGAGCCAAAAACTCAAAACGCCATATTCGCAGCGTGAGCAGAAGTGGGTTGATTCGGTTCCTGTTTTCTGTTTATTCTTCTTTTCCGATTAAAGGATTGTTTTGTTTTGTCTCGTATGGCCACAAACTGAGATTTAGAGCACTATTGTTATCTCCTTAACTGCATGCATGATTCACCTGGCATTACCAAATCTTGCCACAGGATGGACGATGAACTTTTAATCTTGTTGTTTCTTTTACCTGAGTGCAACTCGTCCGACTCTTGATGAATAGAAGTGCTGCTTCTAGACATATTTTCAAATGCAAACTCTTGATTCCTGCTAGTCTAATGCGTCAATGAAGGGAAAAGCGTGGGATAGAGGAGCAATCTTTGTTTTTGATCATCGATCTAGTTGGCTTTTTGACCAGTTTACAACAAAATGGCCATGCTATGCGCCAAGAATAAATTTGAGGTTTGTAATCAAAACTTTTTTAAAACGACAGAGACGCTCATATTTTGCAAGGATAGAAGTATGATAGAAGAATTCTTGTCCAATGAGATGCTGACGACGATCAACCAATCATGACAGGTGTGATAATGTACAACAAAGGTCCACCACACAGGCGGATTTTGACATAGATACTGAGGTAAGACTTTGCCTTCACGTGATCATGTCTTATCTGTTAAACAGTGGCTGCAACAAACGGGAAACTTCATGCTTTCTGTTCTGCATGAACTAATCTTGAAGTGATCAGTATTTCCCACCCGCAGTGAAAGTGTATCTTCTGGTTCATCCTTGAATGAGGGCGATTCTGCCCGTGTTGCATAGTAAAGGTTTTCAGCAATATCCTGCATACTCTGTATGCTAGATCTGCGAGAAACAGATCGACTACGATCACCTCCAGTCTTCTTGAGAATAATCTCTTTCGCAAGCCATCTTACAGCTTCGTCCTTTCCGACTGACTTGGCAAGTTCCAAAAACAGGTACAAATCCGCGTTTGACAAC